ATATTGCTGTTTACTAGTCCTTGACCAAGCTCTATGGACCCAAACCTTCAGTTGGACACAGGAACACCCTGGCTGATGACCCCAATAAGGCCCCACATATTAAGCCACTGTTATTTATTAACAAACCTTCTCACAGTAACATATCCTTTGATAACAGGACTTTTAGTGAGTTGACAGCTCTCCAAAATCTAACACTATTTTAAATAGACACAAGCCCAAGAATACCAGTGTGTATCATTCACATTTCCTACAATACCCTTTTAGATACCCTTTTGAATTATGGTGATGAAACCCTAGACAAATGCTGTAGGATTTGATTAAGCCATTTAATAAATGGCCCTCATTAAAATGCTGGTTCCCTTGTTCTCGTCTATAAGGACTCCGACTCATAACAAATGCCCACATATACATTTCCATATTATCTCTTTAGAGGATTCAGAACTATTTTCTTACACCTAACGCAGCTTTTATTCCATTTAGAATAATTACCCTCCATCCCATTTCTGACTTTCCAGAAAAACAAGACAGTTAATTGACCACAGGAGGACTCTCTCAAGGGCATCAGGCTGCAAAAGCTCTTCTGTGAGCTCACAACTTAAGCTGATGTAATCTGCTACAAGAAGCTGACCTCTATTTTTAAATCATACCCTTTTACTCTGCCTTCAAAGGGCACATATATCACACATTGTAACTGCTCATAAAATACTTTGTGGCGTAGTCTCCCGTCCATTTCCCTCCTGGGGTGAATCACACTGTCAAGAGGGGGCTTCCAACTGCTCCTACGTCATCCAGTTCTGAGCACTGAAATTCATCCACCATTTCCTATTATTTGGTCTTTAGGAGAAGAGCTACATATGGCCACACTCTCCAGGTGTCTTGTTTATCATGGTAATTTTGACAAGGAACAGATGACTAGCAGGGTCCTTCTTGAGGGCTGGGATCAAACTTTTCCACCTCTTTGTATTTCCATCCCCAAATATAGGCACTTAATAAATGCTTATTAGTGTTGCTGCTGAGAGATCTGTCATCAGGCCCATGTGCTTCAAACGGTGCCAGAATGAAAACAGATTATTTGCTTTAAGTTTTTCATTCATCATTTTGGTCATGCTCACTGTGTGTTATTTAAAAAGTTTTTAGCACCTTGAAAACATGATGAGAAAAGCAATGGTTGGAAGAGAAAGTACACTTGGTCTTGCTATTTATTTATAATTATTCTGCTCATTTCTAAGAAAAGTGAAGAGCTCTGTAATTAAAGTGGTACAATTACAGAGTGTGGGAGAGGGCAGAACGTACACTTCCCTGGGTCCGCGTGCATCATCATTCTCGGGCACCCAGGTCTCCCCCACGTCCTCCCAGCAGCTTGGGTCCTCCCAATCCTTTCTCCACCTTACGTTCTGGGTGAGCTGGTGAGCACACAAAGATGACCATGCTCCTCCCCACCTCGACACCCTCCCATTCCCCTGGCCTTCCGGAGATGTCCCTTCTAGCCTGGCCCTGCTTACCTTTCCAGCTGCCGTAGTACGGGCACCCCCATTCCCACACCTGCTCTGCCTCTGTGCTCTGGTTGTAAAAACCTTCCAGGTACTTCCAGGTGCCCTGTTTGCTTTCATCTAAAGGCCACTGTCTAAGTTTCTCCCTCAGCCTGGAACTCTGCTCAGCTGTCCCTACTCCCTCCCCCCAGCTCCTTCCCACTCATCCTTTCCTGTCTTGTTCAGATGTGACTTCCTGTGGAAGCCCCTCCTAGCGACCCTGCAACACCATGGGTCACCTCAGACAACAACACCTCATCCTATTGCATCACGTTTACTTGCTCCATCCCCATGTGACTACATGTGACAGGAGGGAGGGATCCTGTCTGCTTATCTGCTACTAACTATATCCTTGTGCGTGTGGCCCAGCACACAGTGGGGCTTCCATATTATTTGTTGGGAGGATGAATAAATGAATGAATGCATACTTAAGACTGCAACCAGGGGGATCACATCTATGAGGACGAATTAGAATTCTGTCTCCTCGGAAAGTGTAAACTCCAAAGAACTGAATTTATAGCAAAATGCTACTTTAGTTCTGGATTCACCAGTTGAAACGTGAAGGTGGCAGCTGGCTCTGCAGAGGCTGAGACTCTCCCTCCCACAGTGACTCCTAAGAAGCCACCCACAGTCAGACCCCTCTCCCAGAGGTCACAGAAATGCGTTTTGGTAACATGTTTCTGAGAGATAAATGGAGACTCTGTTTAAAATGGAATCCTGCTGGGACAAAACGCTAAAGCTTGCTCACAGTTAAGCTTCATGTTATCAACTCCAAGTAAACAGCAAACTCCACAATTTAAATTCATTCCAAAGAAAGCAGCAAGCCACAAATTAATAATGCTACTTCTTAATTGCAAAACCCTATGTCAATTCCAACACATCACAAGGTGAGTTGCGTGGGGTCAGAATGCCTATTGATTTGAGAAACAATGGGTCTGGGACTTGAAACTCAATGGCTGGAATCTGACCATGCTCTATGAATGCTAGTCTGGCCCTGGGGTGTGACAGTGAAGAGACGAATATAGTCCCTGTCCTCATGGACAGTCCTGCCTAATATAGAGGAGGATGGAGTCCTGAACACTGACTTCTTAAAAAAAAAAGTCTTTCCCTAAATTCAAAGTACACCATGTTCAGCTATTAAATTAAATTCAGCACACATGGGATTGTAGAGTAAGGCATCTCTTCAGCTACTTCTGCATGGAAAAGGATTCTTTTAAACCATATTTTCCAAAATCAACAGATTGATGACACTAAAGAGTGGGTAATGTTTCAACATTCAAACCAAATGATGAAGGGCTTGGTTTTTATTTCATTGTTACACAGCTAGTAACCACCCTCCAAAATAAAACCAAATAAACACAAGTCCACGTGAAATTCTCCTGCCTTCCAGAATAATTGTATTTTTAAATTTTTTAAAAAGATTTATTTAGGGGCGCCTGGGTGGCTCAGTTGGTTAAGTGACTGCCTTCGGCTCAGGTCATGATCCTGGAGTCCCGGGATCAAGTCACGCATTGGGCTCCCTGCTCAGCAGGGAGTCTGCTTCTCCCTCTGCCCCTCCCCCCTCTCATGTGCTCTCTCTCTCTCTCATTCTCTCAAATAAATAAAATCTTTAAAAAAATAAAGTAAAATAAAAAAATAAAAATAAAAAGATTTATTTACTTGAGAGAGAGAGTGCAAGCATAAGTTGGGGGAAGGGGCAGAGGGAAAGAATCTTCAAGCAGACTCGCCGCTGAGTGTAGAGCCCAAGGACAATTTGGGGCACCATCTCATGACCCATGATATCATGACCTGAGCTGAAACCAAGAGCTGGACACTTAACTGACTGTGCCACCCAGGTGCCCCATATTTTAATTTTTATTACATGGTACATAAAAGGTGCTCAATAAATATTTGTTGAATAAATCACAGGACAGGTATTACTAGGAAAATGTCAATTTTAGGTCAATTTCCTTTTTTTTCTCTTAAGGAAAAAATCATGCATATTTTCTGGGATTCTTTCATTCCCTTGTCTGACCTTGGGCTAGTTACTTAACATAGGTATCACTTTCTTCATCTATAAAATTAAATCTGTGCCTTGATTATTGTGAGGCTTAAAGGAGGTAGTAGATATAAAATGATTAGCACTATTCTCTGCAGATAAGGTTTTTTTTGTTTTGTTTTAACTTCTCTACTCCATCCTCCTCTAACCCACTAAAAAAGTGTCAAAGACAAACCAAATTACTGGTGTGATTAGAAAGTCAGGAAATTTCTAATGTGGCCTGCGCCTTGATTTTCACTTTCATAGAATGAGTGAGCTTTACTTTTCAGTTCAGATTTTCCATGAATTCAGAAATCTGCCTTGCTAAGTTAGATACTGCTACCACATTAAGGTTATCTATAATCAGAAATAAAATAAATTCTGATTTCCTTCATAGAGAGGGACTCCAAACTACAAATGAAAATAAGATTTGGCTTTTAAAAGAATTTGCATCAATCTAATAGTAGGTCAAGAATTGGTGACCCTATTCTTAAGCAACAGAAGGTCCCTCCTTTCCCCCGTCCCACACTCTTCACCTCCTATGCACTAGCAGGGTTTCCCATTCACAACTCCATGTGGTGTACCTAAAAAGAAATCTAGGGATTTTAAGCAACATCACTAATTACAAACGGATCATTTGAAATGAGTAAGATAATTGACACAATATTATGTCAAACCTGACATTTGCTTGATTTTTTTTTTCTTTCACACCCTGAAATACAGCCAAATCAACCAAACAAAGAACTACCAAGATTGTACACAACAGTCGCTGCGTTTTCATAAATACTCAGTGTATGACTGCCACCTAGTGGTGGGATATATCCTTGTATGGCCAAATATCCAAACAGCTAAATTGACATAAGATAATTAAAAAGCCAAGGGAACATTGTTCCTCTGCTGCTCACCAGTTATTTCAGGGAAATTTAAGAGCATACCCACCTTCTCAGCTAACTATTTTCTTCAGACAAATTTCTGAAGAGGCCTACTGCAGATGGAACATTAGTTAATCCCACAACCAAACCCCACCACTTCTCAACCACTTCACAAAACAAAGGAGTATTATTCTATTAATTTTAAAATTCATTAGCAATTAAAAAAGGTTCTCCAATAGCCTGTCCTCACTTTCCAGTTTCATTTGATCTAATCTTGATTTTTAGTTACGCATGAAAGCATTTTAAAGTGACAACCTTACAAAAAGTGTACATTATATGAAAATCCAACTTCAATTAGAACCAGTTACTAAATCCCAGCAATTTCCAGCTGTCTCTTCTATCTTATCCTTAGAGAATTATATATCACATTAATTGGTATTCTGTCACATAAAAAGACACTGGCAATGATTAATTGCATCCTTGGTGCTTTTGAGTTATGTCTTCTTCACCAGAGTGATTCAAATCACACCTCATTACCTTCCAGCAGGTACCCCTCTTGGTAACCTTCATAAAATCTCCTACCTTCCTGAACTTCTCCATTTGCTTGTAGAGGTCTGGATCAAGCTCCTGTGACACATCCTTCATCCATAATAATGCCCCTCTGTATTCAGTCCGGCACTGCTCCATGCGATTCACCGTCAGCCAAGTGTCTGAGATGGCCCGGTGCCGAAAAGTCTCCACTTCTTGGTGAAATCGACACAAAGGATTTCTCAAGGCCAACCTAGACAAGAGGATAAAGCCATAATCTTGAAACCAAGCAGGCCAGCAATTTGCATCCTTGACAGTTTACCAATCTTAAATTCCTGAGCCTAGAAGAGTGCCTGGAATATAGACAATGCTGCAGAAATATTTGATTGAAATGGATGAACTGATGAGTCAACCAGATTACCCATGTACTGATCCCTTAGATTACTGTTATTTAACTGGACCACTGGGAAGTATTTCCAACAGTACTGTTGGGGATAGTCTCATGCCTGAGCAAAGAGTATTTATCTGGAGCTGGAACCAATCCTGTGTTAATGGAGAAAGGTCAAGGCATAACCATTTCCCATTTCTATTCTTGGCATCCCTGTCTCTGCTCCTCTGAAGCCTGGCCCTTTGAGGAGGGATGGACTTGTTCATGATTAGGGTCTCCCCTGCTAGGTCATTTTGGATTACTCTCCAAATGCCAGGGCAATCTCCTGCTTGCTCCAACAGTCACAGAGAATGGAGCATGAACAGAAGCATTTTTTAAATATGATTTTACCTATCTATCATCTATCTATCTATCTATCTATCTATCTATCTATCTATCTATCTATCTATCATCTATCTATCTTAGAGATGGGGGAGAGAGAGTACATGAGCGGCGTAGAGGGAGAGAGGGAGAACAAGAATCCCAAGCAGACTCTGTGCTGAGTGCAGAGCCTGACATGGGGCTCAATCTCATGACCATGAGACCATGACCTGAACCAAAATCAAGAGTCGGACCCTTAACGGACTGAGCCACCGGTGGCCCAAACAGAAGCATTTTTAAATGGTCTAGGAAGGGAGAGAAGCACTGTGGATCTACGTGCTAGGCACAGACAGGTTATATGATTGATCCTTATAGAGAAACAAAACTTGAGGATCCTATGCCATAAATAAATGTATATTATACAAGGTGGATATAAAATAATTACAATGTTAGCTTTAACATACCTTTATTTAGCAAGAAAAAAATGTTTGAGGCATATCAAACTTTGGATGAAATATTTATTTTGCAGGGAAGGGAAATATTGCTTCTTTCCTACCCAAAATGAATAATGTCACATGACTTACACTCTTAAAATACAGTTGTCTCCATGAGGTGGCAGGGCATAGGTTCAAAACATGAAAATGAGTAATTACATTTCAATTTAAAGGCAAACTTATGAAGCTGAAGAGAACAGTAATGTTAGTGAGCTGAAGTCAGTGCTTGGCAGTTCCAACAGTACTGTCAGATTATAGACGGGGGCAATAAACTGTTTAAGAAAAAAAAAAAACCCTTTTACTATTTTCTCTCTTCCTCTTTTCTGTAAAACACTGCTTTTAAATAGCATTTCTCTAAAAAGTTTGCTCACATCATCCTACATAAGTGTTGCAGGTGGTTTTTGGACATATTATGGTGCCATAAAGTAAGCTTGTGCTTTATTGCCACTGGATTAAATTTAATACTCAACTTTCATCAAATTGAATGCACAGTTGTAGCAATGACTATCAAATAAGTCAGTAAAACAAATGCTGGTGTGAAGGTTTATAAAACTGGGGACTTCTATTTAAAGAGAGAAAGAGCCCTCAGCTGTCCCCCTAAGGAATCTGTTCATTTCTGGACTCCTCTTTCTCTTCCCTTGGATCTTACCAATTTCCCTAAACTGGCTGAAAAAGCATCTTGTGAATAAAATATTCTCGATTTCTTTGACTGTTAGACAGAAACCTCTGAAGAGGTAATGACATGATGACAGATGTTAAGATCTTGAAGAAAACAAAAAAGCATATAAAATCACCTCATTTTTTTTCTGTAACTTGCTTCATATAAGATTAGAAAGGTGAAAACCTGTTTCCTGGTGCTACCAGGGACTGCGTGTAGACCAAGGGAAAACGCAATAACCAGAAATATCAAGCTTCAGTGAAAGACTGTTGCACATTTTCATGGATGAAGATCTACCCAAAGGGAAAGATTAATAAAGTATCTACAGGTCTACTCCACAAAGACATTTATCCTTTAGTAGGAAAATGTGGAAGTGACCTAAGTAATAGACAGAAGGGCTCAGGTTAAATGCATCATGGCATGCTCTGGAATACTATGGTATAAATGTTTTTAAAAATGTATACATAGACAGCAAAATGTGTTATGGTTATTTGATCAAAAAATCAATTTGCTAAATGATCAGTAAGCACTACTATACAAAAACTGTATGGCATGATGCTGTTTATATTAAAAACATATTCTGGCATATCTCAAATTACATCCATTCAAGATCTGAAAATTTAACTTCGTGAGAGTCTTAGGTCACCCTGTACCGTCTTTATGTTTAGGAGGACTGGTTGGGGTGTCATGTGCTTGGTCAGCAGCTGAGTGCTATGAAACCAGAGCCATCTTGCAGCAGGTCACCTTCCAAATTTTAAAGTTGTCCAAGATGCATTAAATTATGGATATAGTGCACTTTGCTAGTTTATAGTGGTGATGCTTGGAGGTATCATTTGCATTGTTTTTGTCGATTTCTGTTTTTGCTTGTAACCAAAGGTTAGATTATATAAACTCAAGGTACCCTATGTGTGCTCTGGGAGATAATTTGGCACCCAACTCTGAAAGGGTGTACCTAGAGAGCCTATTATAAAATAATTATGAGATCAGTAATGGTAACTCTTGTAGTGATTGTTTTCAGGGATTTGGCTTTGTTTCCCATAAATGGATGTAAGTTTTGGCATACTGGTATGTATAAGAATTTTTCCCACTGAAATTAGTGATAATTATATGTTTAACATATGAGAATTTACTCTTTGAAAGACTGAGAACCAATTATCTTGGTAAGGGGGGGTAAGTACATATGCATAGAAAATATCCATCAAGGGGTTAAAAGTGGGTCATCTCTATTAGTAAAATTTTAATTGCTTTTTAATTTTCTTTTGATTTGTCTGCGTTTTAATTTTCTCTGAAACATGTGTATTATTTTTACAAAGAAAAACGATTACAAATAAGATTAAAAGGTACAATTTTTTTTTTTTTTTTTTAAGATTGTATTTCCCTATTTGACTGAGACACAGCGAGAGAGGGAACACAAGCAGGGGGAGTGGGAGAGGGAGAAGCAGGCTTCCCATGGAGCAGGGAGCCCAGTGCAGGGCTGGATCCTAGGACCCTGGGATCATGACCTGAGTTGAAGGCAGATTCCTAATGACTTCCGCCCAAGCACCCCGAAAAGGTACAATTAAAAATCATAAGCAACACTTTTCTTGGGAAATGGATACAGAACTATTGGAAATGGTATTGTTCAACTGTGAAAGTTGGCATTGCCCACAAAGTTGGGGTCCAAATGTTATTAGACAGAACCAACACACCCAGGAGTGGGACCCTGGGAAACTGACACAGTTGGTCTCTTTCTGCTACTCCAGCTTTCTCAGGATTTCATAGGAATACCTGTGTAACAGGCTGACGGCCTGCTCTTGGCCCACAGGGAAGGAAGGAAAGAAGGAGAAATTAGGAGAAGAAAATGAACAATTTAAGTGAAATTTTTGTAGGCTGAACATTTTTGGAAACTACCTACAACGCCTTATTTAGGTATAATCTTGCCTAATATTAGTGAGTGACATTTTTGGGCTAGTTCATTATTGGGGGAGGAGGAATAGAGAAGGAGTGTTACTTTTCTCAGGCACAAAATGCAACTATATGCAGGGGCTCTTGCTTATTCTACACCAACCATAAAAATGAGTCATGAGAGTGTTAAAAAAAAAAAATGTCACTCATCTGCCACAATTTCCTCTCTACCAGAGCTTCTCAAACTTTTAAATGTTCATCAAAATCAACCAGGGATCTCATTAAGATGCAGATTTGGATTCAGCAGTTGTGGGATGGGGCCTAGATTCTGCATTTCTAACAGGCTTCTAGGGGATGCTGCTGATGTTGCTGGTCCAGGGTCTGAGCAGAATAGTTCAGGGCATCGTGAACACCACCTCTCCAAAGTTAATTGGCCCATAGAGAGCAGAGAAGGAACCCTTCTACCTGGTCTCATTAGGCTACTGCTTTAATCAGCTGCTGTTAGGGGACCGGACTGAATGCTATGAGCAATGCTAAAGGTCAAACATAAGCCTAGGCAGCACTCACAGTGATTGGTACATAACATGCTCCCTATAGACCAGGAGAAATATGAAAAAAAAAAAAAAACTTAAAAATTCCTAGGAGGAAAATAAATCATACATGTTATCTTAATCAGAGAGTTAAGAACAGACTAATAACTAAGAACAGAGTAGCTCCTCAGTCTCAGGCAAGAGCCTTCTAGACAACAACTGAGGAGTCCCCTCCATGGCTGGATGGATCCCGGATTCTTTGCCGATCCCCCAAATGGAGCCCCAGTGAAGGCCACACACCTTTGCTGGGAAGAAAAGCAGAGAGCCTTTCCTGTTGCTTGCATCATCTTTCCTGCTCTGGTTTTATCTTGGAAGCCTTGGGATCGGAGAAATTTTCCCAGTTCGTTTTCTTCTTGAGACAAGACTGATGAAGAAAAGACCAAAAGGAGCCATGAACAATAAGCATTTTTATTACAGAGCGGAGAGAGACACAAGGTCCTCGCTCTTTTAGAGCCAAAGACGGGGTGAAATTAAATCCACGTGGCAAGCTACAAGATAAGCTCCCCGCCTCCCACCATTTAACTTTCATGCTGTCCCTCCATTTACAAAAGGAGAGATCAAATTCACTTGAGTACATCTGTCAGTGTGTTTGGTGCCCTGTAATCAGAACCAGAAAATGACCTCTGCACTGAAAAGCGAGCCGATAATGTGCTGTTTCAAGCTGAAATAAAAAAGTTGGGTTTGTCTATTATGACTGAGGGAATCTTTTGTGGCTGCCTATAATATAGAGCCAGTTTCCTCTGCTTATTCTCTCTCGCTGACTTTTTGATCTCTGCTTTCTGAGTTACAGTCTACTTGATAATAAAGCAATTCCAATACCTTATTCATGATGTGGGTCTTTGGTTGGAAGTGGGAGTGGGGATTGAGGGTGGGGGGTAATCAGCTTAATGCCTTTGTGGGTTTATTTTTTAGGAAGGCATCACATCTAGCATGGAGCCCAATATGGGGCTTGAACTCATGACCCTGAGATCAAGACCTGAGCTGAGATCAAGAGTTGGACACGTAAGTGACTGAGCCTCCCAGGTACCCCATGTCTTCATGGGTTTTTTAAATGCAGAGCTGGGGGCACCTGGGTGGCTCAGCCCGTTAAGTGTCTGCCTTCAGCTCAGGTCATGATCCCAAGTCCTGGGATCAAGCCCCATGTTGGGCTCCCTACTCAGTGGGAAGCCTGCTTCTCCTTCTCCCACTCCCACTCCCCCTGCTTGTGTTCTCTCTCTCACTGTCTCTGTCAAATAAATAAATAAAATCTTCAAAAAAAATTTTTAAAAATAAATGCAGAGCTGGAACCGTGAATTGGTCATGCCTAAACTTGGCCTTATTTCTAAAGACAACCTGAGATGGCACTGTTGGTGAGCTAGTGACTGGTACATGCTTTCTGCAGATTCATTTGGCAGTAAACATACAATGTTACAGAATTCTATGTATCTTTTGACAGTGCACTTCTACTGTTAGTAGTACATTCCAAGGAATTAGTGAAATGGGCACAAAGCTTCATATGGAAAGATAATCATAGCATCAATATTTATAATAGCAAAACACTCTCTTTCTTTACACTTGGGGCTGATTTATAAAACTGTGTGTCTTCAAACGATGAAATAGTGGGCTCTTACAACGCCACTGGCCCCCAATCCACATTTACCAACAGCTGAACAAAGAGTGACACTGAGTTTCCTAAATGTTTTCTTTTCTAAATACAGCATTTCTATGGACTTACTCTGAACACTATTCTTATTTCACACTTCTGTATTTATGCATTTACACATCACGTGCCTCTAAAAATGCTTTTTAAATGCTACTAGGATTCTTGTCCCTTTTCATAAACAATCCACAATTCCTTCAGAATGCATCCCATTCCTGACATAACCTCTCCAATGAGAGCATAAGCCAGGAACCACAAATCCAAAGGTGAAGGTTATACTTGCTACTGCTTCTTTGTTAATTTGTCACTATAGTTCACACTAAACATTCCAGAGGATGAGCCTTTTGGAATCCACTCTCCCTGAGAAATAAATGTCTACTCTCCTTTCTCTCTGTCCCTCAAGAATCAAGTTCACTACTCAAAGCTCAAAGGCTGTGAAGTAGTTGATCCCCATTTCTCTGGGACAGCAGCGCCCTCTCGGCATTAGGGTGTTCATGGTTGGGGATGTGTCTGTCTATCCCATGAGACTCTAACTTTCTCAGGACAGGGACCTCATCCAACTATGGATTCCCCAAGCTGAGCATTCAGGGCACTGTTAAGTGCTTATAAAATTAAATTAACTATAATTTTTGCCTTATTATCCTCATACATTATTTTTTCCCCACCACCTCCTATCCCACTTTATTTCATTTTAAATGCTTATTTGATATTTATGCCATGATTCTATGAAGATTTAAAAAAAACTATAATTATAAGAAGTTTTGTTGTTTTTTAATACCTTCTGTAACTTCTTTCTACTTACTAATATAGGACTCACTCAATTCCACAATGAATATGTCCCTATGGAGAGCAATTTCACATTTTTGTTCATAATAGCATGAGACTACGGTCACCTTTTTTACCTTGAAGTCTCAAGTCACATACAAATGAACATATTTACCTTAAGGCTAGGAAGATACCAATTCACTGTACCTAAATGATTATATAGTTGATGAAATGTACTTTCCTAAATAAGCCTAAGGAAGTTGAAGCATTTGAAAAATTATTTTTATTATTTTATGCACTTGAGGATTAAGCTTGGGGTGGGAAACAGGTTTCCTTTTAAGAGCTGGACTCTAATTAATTGGCAGTGTTACTCAGAGAGAGGTGGAAAACATCTCAGCCTCATCAGACTCCAGCTTGGGTTACTAGTGATGACTGTCATTTTCCGAGAAGGGATGTTCATTCCTTAATTTTAACTTTAAAATTCAAATACTGAAATTAATTTATAGAAGTTTAAAATTCAGATGCAACACAGGTATCAGATGACTTGCCAGTTTCCACCTAAAAGGTCTAACTTAACTGGGACTTAAGAATTCAGACACACCAAAAAACCCCTATTCATTTTTTAATTGCTGATTAGATTTTCAGATGTATCCTAAAAAGGGAACTAAGAACTATAAAACCAGTTAGCTTGGCAGCATTAATTCACTCAGCACAGATTTATGGATGATCTAATATGTACTAGGCACTGTTCTTACCACTGGAAATATAGAGATGGACAAGACACACAAGGTCCCTGTTTTTATGGAGCTTTTGTTTGTGTAACAGAAGACAGAAAATAAAAAATCTATAATCACAAATACAAAACACAAAAAGAAAAATACCAGATAGAGCAATAAAAGAAGGGGAGAGAAGATACGTTGGGCTGGGTGGTCAGGAAAAGCCTCTCTGAGCAGGTAACCATTAAGCTGGGCTCTAGATGTCAAGAAGGGGCCACTCTTGAGATGATTAGGCCAGTGACATTCCAGACAGAGGAAACAGTGAGCGCAAAAGGCCTCAGGTGACATGGTGGGTAAGGGCAAAAGTGGCTGGAGATGCAAGCTGGGCCAGATCATGTAGGAATTTATAGACTATGGTATGGCAGCCTGGACCTCACCTTAGGTTCTATTGGAAACTTTAAAGCAGAGAAGCAACATGATCCAATGTACTTTTTTAAACTTTATTTTACAGAATTTTAAGCTTATAGAAAAACTGTAAATAGAATACAGAGTTCCTGTATACCCTTCTTCAGCTTCCCCTAACATTAGCATCTTACATAACCATGGTACAGTTATCAAAACTGGGAAATTAACATTGGTATAGTACACTTAACCATAACCTTATTTGAATTTTATCAGTTTTCTCATTAATGTCCCTTTTCTTCTTCTAAGATCGAATCCAGGATCTGACGTTAAGTTGTCAGGATCCCTTAGTCTCCTTCGATCTGTGACAGTTTCTAAGCCTATCCTATCTTTCATGAGCTTTGTGCCCTTTAAGATTACTGGTTAGGTATTGTACAGAATGTCCCTCAATCGGGTTTGTCTTATTTCTCACAATTAGACTGGGGTGACAGATTTTGGGGAGGGAAACCACAGAGGTGAAGTGGCCTTCTTAAATGATGATATCAGGACTACATGATACCAACACACATTATCACTAGTGATGTCGATCTCGATCACTTAATTCAGGTGGTGTCTACTGAGTTACTCCACGGTAAAATTATGATTTCCTCCTTTCATAATTATTTAAAATCTTGGAGGGAAACACATGATGCTATGCAAATACCCACTTTCTCCTCAAACTTTCGTTCACTGATTGTGCCATCTTCCAGTGAACCTTGCCTGTTACAATTCTTACTGTGGTATTTGCCTAATGGAGATCTTATGGTTCCCTCATTCTTTCTATATTTATTAACCAGAGTTATTTTATAAGAAAGAGTTTCTTCTCCCCTGTTTGTCTATTTCCATGCTGACTTAATGGATATTTACTTTACTTCATGGGTTATAATCCGATACTATTGTTATTTATTTTGTTGCTCAAATTGTCCTATCTTAGATCACTGGGAGCTCTTTGTGGGGTAGACAGTGGGCTGTGGCGGGGGGCAGAGTGCAGGGAGATCATTTAGGAAGCTGATATAGCAAATCAAGTAAGAGAGTGATAGTAGTGGCATGAACTAAGGTAGTGACAGTAGAGTTGTAGAGAGGAAGACTCTGAAAGCTATTCAGGAGACAAAATGGACTACCATTTAAGACTGACTAGATGTGGGACAGATAAATGGTGGGGGGGTATGTGTCATGTGTCTTGACTTCCCCAGAACTCAAGACTATGGAGTTATAGCCCTGGAGAAGTCTTAGCTCAAACACTTAGTAAACAGTAACACAGAAAATTTGTAAAATTCTGCCTCTAAGTCCTAGGACTTTGTACTTCCCCACAATAGTCTTAACAAAGACTAATGAAGGAAAATTACCAACTGTTAATTGTGATTATTGGAAAGAGGTGTATCAGCAGTCAGAAACAAAAAAATTTCCTATGTTCCTGCTCAGAAATACAGAAATTATACTATTAAATCACCTACAAAAGGAAATTTTAAAACATACTAACACACAACTTGATATTTAGCATTTAGAGACAACTGTGGGTAATAACTTTACACAGAATCTTGTTCCCCAATAACCCAATATCCAACTTAAAAAATGCTCATGAAGAAGTGCTGTCAACAAAATACAGTTAATAAATTACCTGTTTGTGCCTTCTCTCTCCATTTTAAGAGGAACAAAACTGGATATGAGAGCCAGGGCAATCAAATAAAAACAACCCAGAATTTTAGAAAACCCACACATAAAACTGAGAAAACTTTTTTATAATTAGGAAAATAAATGGCATGTACTTACCCACAGGAGGCCCAATATAAAGTTCTTGTTACAGTTACTTGCATTGAGTGATAAACAACCTATGTAAAGGATTTCTGATAAAATTATTAGAGACCCTCCTCCCCACCAATTAAGGAGCAGAGACAGGGGCGCCTGGGTGGCTCAGTCATTAAGCATCTGCCTTCGGCTCAGGTCATGATCCTGGGGTCCTGGGATTGAGTCCCCCATCGGACGCCCTGCTCAGTGGGAGGTCTGCTTCTCCCTTTCCCACTTCCCCTACTTGTGTTCCCTCTCTCTGTCAAATAAATAAATAAAATCTTTAAAAAAAGAGAGAGCAAAGACAGACACTCCTAAATAGTAATTTCCTTGTCTTACTTTCTAAACATATGAAATGATATATTAAAGCAAAATATCCTATTTCTTACTGTTGATCTGATCAATATTCATACTTAGGGCATACTTACAACATATTCTCTTTTGATAGAGTACGATTGCTTTAGACAAGTCCAAACAGGTTCTCTGAATTGAATGAAACAGCTATAATAAAAATACAAACAAAATGCTAAATTATAACAAATAGTGAAATAAAAAATTATTATCGGAACATAATCACAGTGTTTGATTTGCCCACCAACAACAAGATCACAAACCTAAGTATGCTTGTTGTTATGTGGCGTTCGGTGCAGCAACTGTGACCAAAGTCTTTAAGTATGCTCCTATTTATCTATATTTATTAGAATTCATCATTTCTGTGATCTAAATTAAGATCCGCAGAACAGTGATTTCCTCCAGATTATTGAAATAAGAACTGAAAAACAGAAATCCTAAATGAAGGGCCCAATTAGATTTGGTAAACCAGAGACCCAATATTCATTCATAATTTATTTCTTTTACCATTTGCTGTCTTTTTTTTAAATGTAGGATCCCTCAATTAAGAATCATATTTAAAACATGACATTCGCTTATTTTGTGATCGTAATCCATTTTATGGCATGCTTAAACAATTCTATAAAGAGCAAACAAAAATCAATCAGTTGAATGTTCCATTTAGAAGACATCTGGTAAAATGGAGTTTAGCTAGCAGCCCTTATCACTCCTTATTTTCCCATTGATTTCATAAGATATACAGAGAAGAAACCTAATGTAATGCCAAGGCCGTAAGAGAAGAAAGTACGGGAAAAGAAGGTGGGCTATACTGAGAAGAATCAAACTAGATTTTAACTTTGCTTCAAAAACCCAGACGAGCTCAAGAGAAGATCAGACACTTCACACTTTCTCCACCTTCTGTCCACCAGCCCAGAGACCACAGCTGGTATCAGAAAACCTGGCAAACATTCTGCCTCTGAAGAGCCACCTAATGAGGCAGAGAAAGGCTTTCCCTCTCTCTCTCTTTTAGCTTATTGGCCATGGTGATGTAATAGCTGTGTCTTGGTATTATGAAGCACTTCACTATTGAGTTAAAACAGATGATCTGTTTCATAATAAATACAACCAATGATCTAATAAAAATAGATGCATGCATATATACTTGAAATATTAAAAACCATTCCCAGAAACGCTTAGTACAATAAAATTTGGTCATGAAGAATATAAATTTTGCTAAATCTTATTTCATTACTCTGTATTTTCTACCTGTTTAGAAAAGAGAAAGAAAAAAAAAACAACAGAAACAGAAAATCAGCAGTCTGAATTTCTTCCCTGACTAACGTTTGACATCAGGATTATGGGTCACAAACCACCAACAGATAGCAATTCCTGAATATAGGATCAAGGGAGTTCATAAAGTATGTTCAGGAACTGTTCTGTTGTCACTGTTCATTTTTAAAAACCTGAGGTGTAAATGAAAGGCAATAAAATGCACACCTCTGGAATGTTCTGTTCTGCAGGTCTGTAACTGCATACATTCTTGCAACCGCACCCAAACTAAGAAACCACTGACCGGCGGCTCTGCTACGGCCCCTCCTAAAAGACCTGCCTGTCAACACAGGTTAGCTTTGTCTGTTCTTGTACTTAAGAGCTGTTTTTGAGAAAATGATTTTATTAAAAACCAATTTTGACACATAGTTAAACTTAGTGCAACATTTCTATATTAACTTCCCAACAGATTATAGTAGAATCTGACCATCCTTATAACTTGGCACAGAAACTTGCTCTGTGCTAGCAAAACAAAGGCTCTTATTTCATAAGCTAGCCTTTTGTGGATAACTTAGGGTAAAAACACATCAAAATGCTCTGCACGTCATTTACATATGTTTTATGGATGCTCTCCATAAGCATCAACACAAGTTTAAACATTTCTGCAACAGAAACCTCATCCATGTAACATTACCAGTCACAGCTAATTACTTTAGATGTTATGTGCCTAGGACAGTGGCTATTTTGATTAAAGTACAGTTGGCTCAGTAAAAATGCTGCAAGAGCCTAAGCATAAATATAAAATTACTGTATTATGTGTAATGAAGTAATAATTACGTGTTAAATTCCTTTCTGAATAATGCCTGTATTTGCTACATTGTTAAAAAGAAAAAAAAATAAAGGTAGGAGACATGAAAAGCATATGTGACATATAATCATTTCAACTGTATGAAGAACACTAAAATCAGAACCAATGCCTCCTGGTGCCACGTTTCTCCCTGTAGCCATCTCCATTAGAACATCTCTATGAAACCCAGCTTCAATTTGAACAATTCCATTGGCAGGGGAAAGGGCTGGGAATGAACATTAATTGCATTAACATGTACACTGATTCAGTTACTATTTACTGAATGAGTACTGTGTGTCTGCTGATGGTATTATGGTGAATAAGGCTGATATGGATCTCTTAGTGGAGGGAGGGCAGACAAACACATAAACACATGAGATGTACATACTATGAATAGGGGCCCTGGGTCTGGTTCTCCCTCCAGATGCATAGGATGAATTATCCTTCATCCAAATGACAGGCCTTTCTATGCAATCAACAGCTAATATAGCTCCCTTAAACCTCTCTGTTCCAGTATAACCATGGTTTCTATCATCCTGGGCACCCTTCTCAGAAAGTTTTTTTGAAACCCTGAGCTTTTTACTGTAATCATGTAAAATGTTCAAGCTCATTAACTTTATCTGATATGTTGAATTTAGAGATCATTTTGAATTCTTATCAGGTTATGTAACATAGTATTTCTCATGGAAGTGATGAGTATGCTTTTTAAATTTTACTCTAAATATTGGCAGAATGTCCTGCAAGACAGGGGATTAGTGGACCTTCTACCAGTTATGTTAGTATTTGGGAATCAACCAGATAGGAGTTCAGCTTACTGTATTATTAACTAGTCTAACTAAATATCTGCTCAGTTAATTCATTCTAGAATTTTTCAGGGTTCAATGCCAAGTTTATGAGACTCTAATTTCCAGGATCTTGTGTTGTCATCCTTTCCTCTTTTTTTAAAAAATGTAAGCATTAGCTTGACCCTAGTGTTGATATCATGTGCAGTGGCTCTTTGGTTGCATTAATTTTTTCAACAAACAACAAACATTTATTGAGTTTACCACATGCAATGCATTAAAGTGCTTGAAAAACAAATTAACTGAGGCACGCTGGTAGTTACACGAGAATTTGTAGGTTTTTAGAAAACATGCTCGGATTGAATTTACCTCATCTTAGATTTTTTCCTCATGAACTAGCTGTTTGCAGTATGTTTTCAAATATAAAGCACACCTAAGCTTGTCCAAGTCTGTACACTCTAGGACTGTGACCCTAGTGAGGGGGCTGTGCTGGGACTGAGAAGAAGAACAGCTCACCTCCAGCTTGGCATCCAGGTCTGCATCAGAGGCAACGACATGCTCATCTTCCTTCTTCCCTGTGGCTTTAATAAAGGCCTGCTTCGTTTCCCAATACTTCTGCTGCATCTTATTTACTACTGACTTATCTTGAGTATATCGATCCTGTAGGTCCCAGGGATAACTGCTAAAAAATACATTTAAAGAGGTATTTTATTCCTGACTTTCATAAAAATGAAGCTATTTTAGTGTTAACAAATTTATCTAAACATTATATTACACAACATTCATAAACATACTTTTTTTTTAAGATTTATTTATTCATTTGACTGAAAGAGAGAGAGGGTATGAGCAGGGGCAAGCCGCAGAGGGAGAAACAGATTCCCCCACAAGCAGGGAGCCTGATGTGGGGCTCAATGCCAGGACTCTAGGATCATGATCTGAGCTGAAGGCAGACACGTAACCGACTGAGTCACCTAGGCGCCGCCATAAACATACTTTCTTGTGTGGTTATTACACCAAAAATATTAACCAACTCTAATATACTCTGAAACCTTAAAAGTTAGTGAGGAAATCAAGAAGCTTTTGCAGGAAATCAAGAAACTAAACCTTGAAGAGTTTAGCTCTCAGCATGTTGGACATACTCCTTTTCCAAGTAGAGAAAGTGAGGCCTAACCAGGCAGGGTGTCTGGCTCAAGCAGCCCAGTGAGTCAGCGATAAAGCTGGATACCTATGTTGTCTCCACTCCAGTGTTATGGCCAACACTGAAGTGATAGCAGAAAAGTAGAGATAAGGGGGTGAAAAATAGCACATTTAAAATCTGTCCTAGAGGTACCTAAAATAGTCAAACTCAGAATCAGAGAGTAGAATAGTGGTTACCAGAGGCTGGATGGGGTGAGAGGGAAATGGGAAACTCTTTTTTTTTTTTTTAATTTTTTATTGTTATGTTAATCACCCTATATTACATCATTTGTTTTGGTGTAGTGTTCCATGATTCATTGTTTGTTCATAACACCCAGTGCTCCATGCAGAATGTGCCCTCTTTAATACCCATCACCAGGCTAACCCATCCCCCAACCCTCCTCCCCTCTAGAAACCTCAGTTTGTTTTTCAGAGTCCATCATCTCTCCTGGTTCGTCTTCCCCTCTGACTTACTCCCCTTCATTCTTCCTCTCCTGCTATCTTCTTCTTTTTCTTTTTTCTTAAAATATGTTGCGTTATTTGTTTCAGAATTACAGATCTGTGATTCAACAGTCTTACACAATTCACAGCGCTCACCGTAGCACATACCCTCCCCAATGTCTATCACCCAGCCACCCCATCCCTCCCACCCCCCACCACTCCAGCAACCCTCAGTTTGTTTCCTGAGATTAAGAATTCCTCATATCAGTGAGGTCATATGATACATGTCTTTCTCTGATTGACTTAAGGAAATGGGAAACTCTTAATGAAGGGGTGTAAGGTCTCAATGATACACAATGAGTAAATTCTAGAGATGGGCTGTACGACACTGCACCTATAGTTAATAATACCATAGTATACACTTAAAAATTTGTTAAAATGCAAATCTCATGTTAAATAGTCTTAACTACAGTCAAATGAAATTTAACAAAATGTTTTTTTGAAAAATCTGTTAATGATTTCTGATATTAAAACCTTAAATTCTTGGGGCGCCTGGGTGGCTCAGTCATTAAACGTCTGCCTTCAGCTCAGGTCATGATCCCAGGATCCTGGGATCGAGCCCTGCATCAGGCTCCCTGCTCATCGGGGAGTCTGCTTCTCCCTCTCTCTCTCCCTCTGCCTCTGCCCCTGTGCATGCTTTCTCTCAAATAAATAAATTCTTTTTAAAAAAAAAAGTATGTAAGGAAGAAATTAGAAAAAAAATTGAGAATGAAATAGAATTCTGTAAAAGACCACAACACCTCAGATATTGACAGAAATGTTGCCATTAGTGCTCCACCCCTCCCCATGTTGTCTATGCCTTCCTCTGGTCTACAGTCCCTGTTTCTTTCTTTTTTTTTTTTAAGGTTTTATTTGAGAGAGAGAGAGCACAAAAGCGGGAGGGAGGGAGGAACAGAGGGAGAGGGAGAAGCAGACTCCCCGCTGAGCAGGGAGCCCAATGTGGGACTTGATCCCCGGACCCTGAGATCATGACCTGAGCCAAAGGCAGACACTTAACCCACTGAGCCACCTAGGCGCCCTTAGAGCTCCTGTTTCATATGTCCACACAGGACCCCTGGTTTCTCCTCTCTGCAGACATGTTCCTTCTTTCTTCCACTCCATGCTATCACCACTCAAAACATGCCAGACCTGAGTCCTAAAACACAAGTTGCTTTACACCACTATTTAAAAATACCTGTTCCTTGAAACTTGGTGATTTATACTCTCCTTCCACATAACATTTACAATTTTCAATTCAGACATTTATTCTTAAAAAGTCAGAAGGGGTTTCAAATAACTTCTTTACAAAAGCTATCATTAGAGAAGTAGGATTTGGGGGACTTTCATAGTTTCTGCATTATTTAAACGGTTTTTTGGGGGGCACCTGGGTGCCTCGGTTGGGCAACTGCCTTCGGCTCAGGTCATGATCCTGGAGTCCCAAGATCGAGTCCCGCATCGGGCTCCCTGCTCAGCAGGGAGTCTGCTTCTCCCTCTGACCCTCCCCCCTCTCATGTTCTCTCTACCTCATTCTCTCTCTCAAATAAATAAAATCTAAAATAAATAAATAAAAGGGTTTTTTTTGTGTGTGTATAGACTTGTCAAATCACTATGCTGTACACCTGAAACTAACATAACATTGTGTGTCCGCTATACTTTAATTAAAAAAAAAAAGTTTTAGGGGTGCCTGAGTGGCTCAGTCGTTAGGCCTCTGCCTTCGGCTCAGGTCGTGATCCCAGGGTCCTGGGATCGAGCCCCGCATCAGGATCCCTGCTCCGCGGGAGGCCTGCTTCTCCCTCTCCCACTCCCCCTGCTTCTGTTCCTTTTCTTGCTGTGTTTCTGTCAAATAAATAAATAAAATCTTTAAAAAAAAAAAAAGTTCTACTATGAGCTCACTGAGGGAAAATAAGTGGAAAAAACATACAACTTTTATGTAAAAGATAGAGTCTCTCTACATAATATGTGTATAAAAAGACTGGAAGGATATACCCTCCAAAACTGGTTATTTCAAGGAAATAGAATTTTTAGAAGTGGGGAATAGGGTGGACTTCTTTGTATTGTATTTTTATTTACTTATTTTTGGTGAAAGGTCATGGATGAACAGAAAAAAAATTCCATTTTGGAAAAAAAACAAAGGGACCAGAGATTTGGTGAATACCCCTCAGCTTTGTCATTTAACAAATGAGGTATCTTAGGTTTCAAAAGCTTAAGAATTCTGCCCAAAGTCACACAGAATTAAAATCCAGGCCACTTAATCCCAGTCCAGTGCTCATTTCCATGTTCTCTACAGCCCCTGCATTTCAGCAGCAAGCAATGAAGTGGCAGAGTGAGAGACAGACTTTGGGGAAGGGCCCACTTCTCAGGGCTCTCCTGGCTCTCTTAGATGGGTGAGTACATACTTCCGTGGCCTGCTGCCAGGGTGTGATAGCCATTATGAGGGTCACAGGATGGAGCCACCCCTTTGTCTTAATGAGGCAAGATGGAATAATTATGAAAAGAGTCTGACAACTCTTAGACGGCTGTCAAATGGGGATACTCAGGGAAACTAAATCCCTCAGCCATTTATTAATTACCTTTTAAAATTCATTACATTTTAAGACATGCAAAAATTCTCTTAAAGGTTCACATTTGATATTACAGAGGTCTTGGGTCTGATTACTTCTTTACTGAGAGAGGAGGGATTAGCAAGTATATTCCTTATTATAATTAATTGTACACTTGAAACATGAAAATATACATCACCATTTTTTCATGCTACAAATTAAGAGATAAAACATGACAAAGATATGCTTGCCTGGTGGGTCATGGGTTCAAAAGCGTTCAGAAACACTGTGTGAGGCAGACCTGGAATTTATAAGAAGTTTAACATGCTGCTGAGATGTGCTACAGGCATGTAAATGACAGTGCTGAACATTGCCATGATTACCACATCTTATTCAGCAGCAGCATCTTCCGACCATGATTGCCTCCTGAGTGTTCATGAAGGTTAAAGTCACAGCTATAAATTAATGAGTCTGAGTTTGCATTCATTATTTTATAGCTGCTGTACAGCAAGTTCCCTGATAACACTAATAAGTTGTAAATAAAATAGCGCATATATATATATACACATATATATATATATAGGCTTATTAGATTTGAAAAACTGGTGGTAAGAAAAGCCATTAGATTTTCAGGAGAAAAGCTGTATATAAATTAGTTTCTCAGAGGATATATATTACATAAAGACTTATAATATGTTTGATTATTTGGTTTCCATATTTCACTCAGAAGGGATGTTGAACTTAACTATACCCATATTGGATAGGGGCTAACAGATCATTTGCTGCTAATGTGACTCTTGATTTTTCTATTCAACAGACATTTATTGAGCATATACTATGTACTTTCCTCTTTCATTAGCCTATCTCCCACTTTAGAAAAGACAACACATTACTTACCATTTGTGTCTTGACATGTTTTCTTCTTCTTCTTTTTCTACTGTTGATGATTTGGGGAGAAGGGGCAGGGAAAAAGCATGAGAGGATAAGTTATATCATAACCTGAAATAAAACAAATATGTTTTAACAGTTAACACAGTATATTATATGTTAATTTGACACATATAAAATTTTTCAATCTGAGCCATTTCTAATTGTATTTTAGGGGCCAAACACTATTACACAGTGACACTGTACACTGGTGTTGAGAATAATTTAACACTGGAAGAAATATTCTAAATGAAGTGTAAGAAGCAAACAGGCAGATTGAGAAAAGCAGGCTGCAGAAGACTACATAAAATATGAGACCACAAAACATAAAACAATGCTATATATTGCTGAAATATACACACATCATATAGTAAAGGCATAAAAATTGCCTAGGAATGATAAACACTAAATTCTAGACAGCAGTTACTACTGCAGAAGGGGGTTGGGGGATATTATTCAAGAGGGGTACACAGGAGCTTCAGCTGTACTCATAATGTTCTCTTTGTTAAGCTTGGTGGTGAGGAGACTGCATCTGTCTGCCTCTTTACAGATTTGAAATATTTTATAAATGTGCTCACTTTGGCAGCATATATACTAAAATTGAAACAATACAGAGAAGATTAGCATGAGAAACCCCAAACCAGGAAACCCCACCCAACCAACCATCCACCCAAGGGAAATGGAAGGCAAGAAATACAAAGGATCATGTGTTAACTGTAGAGTTGGCAGTGGTGGGGGGTGCAGCTGTGGGGTATGGTGCCTCTTAATCTGTTCTGGGTCCCAGGAAGGGGAGAAAAGTGGGTTCTCAGTGATTAAGACTTGATCCTGTGGTTGGCCTTTGGCCATGCTGCTGCCTGTGTCCCCTCCCAGGGACTGACCCTTAGGCCAAGCTGCCCTTGGTAGGTGGGCTCTGGCGTAGAGTGCTGCACTTGCTGAGGCTCCCCAACAGTGACCAGGAAGGACACTGGGGAATTATCACAACCCATTTAGTATGAGGGTATTGGCCTAGCCACAGGTAAATTCCTTGCCCTGATCTCTTCCCCACACCCAGGAAAATAGCTCTTAATTTTTTTATTTGTAACTTTTGTTTGAAATAAAGTCCTTAGCCAGAAAATAAAACAAATATTTCACAATCAATATTTCTAAAACATGAGCCAATGAGCCAGCATACTGAAAACAAAACAAAAACACACACACACACACACACACACACACACACACACGACAAAAGGCTAAAGGCTAAAACGAGATACTAGGAAGGGCTAAAAGGAGGAAAATGCGATTATTTCAGTTTTTACCAGCCTACCATTGTCTCTCACCTCATCGGTAAATATGGGAGTAACTTTAGGCCACTGTCTTTCACTCCCTTTGCCCTCTCAGGAAAGCCAGCCAACCTCATGGGTGGAGCAAACCAACCCAAACATACTTGCCTACCAGTTTCTGGAAAGACTGGAGAGCTTGCTACTTAAAGGAATGGCCTCAGACACAGAATGCTGGCTGTCAGAGTCAACGCTTCTGGGTACTCCACAAAACCAATCCAGTTGTTCTTCCTCTACACCAGAAAGGGTCCTGGCAATCAGTACCCCTAAAATGACTAAAATTTTTAAAGGTTTATTTTTACCATTTTTAAAATGTTAAAAAGCTTTTTAAAAATGTTTTAAGGGAACTAAATGAAAGTGCTAAAATTCCAGGTCTCAGGTGTGGGGACAGGAGGGAGGAAGGACGACATTTTCTCAGAATGTCCGGACTGCCTCTGAAATGACCACATCCAGTCATCAGCATCTCTCTGCCTCCTGGAGGGCTTCCAGGTTTGTGGACAAGCTGCTTTGGGAATGACGTTCATGATGAGTAAACCCTGTCCTCTTCTCAGTAAATCAAAGAGAGGCCACCAACTTCTAGTCCTCTCAACACCCACACAGCTTCCCTGCAAGTACACGTTTACTTGATTTAGCTCAAAGCTTCCAAAAAAATTTCTCATGTTCGAGGACACAAATTATACTCTTTCCTTGAGTCCAATTTCACCACAGCCTATTAGGATAGTTGATACTTTTTGAATAATTTTTAATTGTGGTAAAAACCACTAAGTGTATCCTTTAATAATTTTTAAGTGTCCAGTACAGTACTGCTAACTATACATTGTTATATGACAGATCTCCAGAACTTTTTCATCTTGCATGGCTGAAACTCTGTATCCATCAAACGACTCATTTCCTCCATCCCCAAACCACTGGCAACCATCATTCTTCCTGTTTCTGAGTTTGACTATCTTAGATACTTCATATAAGTGGAATTATACAGTATTTGTCTTTACTGTGATTGGTTTATTTTACTAAGCATGATGTTGTCAAAGTTCTGTAACCTCTGACAGGTTTTCCTTCTTTTTAAAGGTGGAATAATATTCCATTTTATATATAAAGCATATTTTCTTTATCCATCCATCCACTGATGGACATTTAGCTTGCTTCCACATCCTGGCTATGAATAATGTTGCAATGAACATGGGTGTACAAATATCTTTTGAGATCCAGGGCTTTTATTATGTATATAACAGAAGTAGGATTGCTAGATCATAGGGTAGTTCTATTTTTGATTTTTTGAGGAACCTCCATACTTTTTTCCACAGTGACTGCACCATTTTAAAATCCTACCAACAGTGTTCCAAGGGCTTCATTTTTTTCCACATTCTCCCCAACACTTGTTACTTTCCTTTTATTCCTTCTTTTTTTTTTTTTTTGATAGCACCCATCCTAATGGATGTGAAGTGATATCTCATTGTGGTTTTCATTTCCATTTCCCTGATCACTTGTGATGTTCAACATCTTTTCACATGCTTACTATCCATATCTTCTTTGGAGAAATGTCTATTCAAGTCCTTTGCCTATTTTTCAATTGGGCAATTTTTTTTGTTATGGCATTGTAGGTAGGAATCCTTTTTATATTCTGGATATTAACCTTTTATCTATGGTATGCAGATACTTTCTCCCATTCAGTAGGTTGCTTTTTCACTGTTGTTTCCTTTGCTGCAACTTTTTGATTAATTTTTGATTATTAAAGTATTTAACAATTTAAGTTCTTCATAATGTAATAATAGATAATAAAAATCACTGAGCAAACTGCCCTTTCTACCTGGACTTCTAAGCTATTTCTAGATTATGATGCCAATGTTCCTCAAGGTATTGTTTAGAGGTCACTTACACTGGAATCTTCTGGGGTGTCAACAGGCAGATTCCTGGGCTCCATTCCTTTACCTAATGATCGAAAATCTCTGAGCATGGGTCTGGGAATCTGCATTTGTAATAGGCTTTGCAAATGATTCTGAAGCACATTAAGTCAGAATACCACAGCTATATGGCATCTAGGAAAAATCCTTTCTGGAAATGGATCTTAAATAAACTGCTGGATTATAATATGGCACTATAGTAAAGGAATCACTGGTGGCAAAATCAGGTCAACTCTACAGGGCACAGCTGAATATTTCATGAGAAGGCAGCTGCAGTTAGGACTACAGGAGAAGGCAGCTCCTGACTAGGACTCACATCTCCAGCTCCATAAACCAGGACAACTGACAAACATTTTAAGATTTCTTCACAAAATTCATCTTCTCTTGCTCTACCACTTTCTAAATTCACAGTGTCAAAATCACTACTTAAAAAAAAACCATTATAAGTCTCATCTATTCACTCATTTCAGTTCATCAGTTTGGTTGCACTGAGCATGCACTGAGCATCTAGTTACTATGCACCAGACACTGTCTGGCCCCAAGTAACTTATAGTCTAAATCAGCTCTGTCCAACAGAAATACACTATAAGCTACATATGTAATTTTAAATGATTAAACAGCAATGCTAAAAAAGTAATAGTAAAAAAATTTTAAAACAACATATTTTATTTAACCCAATATATCTAAGATATTATTTCAACATGTAATAAAAAAGTTACTAATGATTTATTTTCCATTCATATTTTTGCACTAAGACTAAAATCTAGTGTGTATTTTATGCTTACAGTACATCTCAATTGAGACTAGCCACATTAAGTGCTTAATGGCCATGTGTGGTTAGTGGCTACAATATTGGACAATGCAGGTTAAGCAGGGAAGACAGACATATAAACATAATTTTCGGATCCAAGAGTCTGTTAATATTTGCAAGGGACATATAAAAAGATCTTTGTGAATCCCCAAATTTGTAAAATCTGCTGTTAGAAAAGTCATTTCCCCTATAAAATACAATAAAGTCTATAATTAGCTAATACTTCAATTCATGATTCTGCAAAGGAGGCTTTATTTCCATTTCTGCCACAAGACACTTATGAAAGAAGCCCAAAATGAATACTATCATGTCTCGAGCATTTTAATAGCATAGAGAAGACTTCCTAAAGTTCTGTTTTGTGGACACATTACTTTGGGAGATAAGCAAAGAAGAACAAGCACCAAGCTGCTTATGGACTTGCCATGACATGAGTGCCATGAAAGGAAAAAAAAAAAAAAAAAGGCACCAATACTGTTAAATTCAGCATGACTTGACCACATCAATGTCTGTGTTTCACTATATTCTGTCTCTCCAAGGGAGACAAAGCAGATTAGCTAATAAGACTTAAGACCTTCTCAAAGAAGTAGTGTCCCAAGAGTTAGTTAACAGATCAATAGAAAGCAAGTTCTAGAGTGTCTGGCTGGCTCACTGAGTGTAGCATGTTACTCTTGATCTTGGGGTCATGAGTCTAAGTCCCACGTTGGGCATAGAACTTATTAAACACACACACACACACACACACACACACACACACACACACACAAACACACACACACGATTCCTAATTTTGATGTAACAATCCTGAGGGTGAGGGGATGGGTTAGTAAGGAGTGGCCTCTGTATCTAAGACAATTACTAAAGGGGAAAGAGGTACTATCAACCTAATCTTCCTAGGCTTTGCCACGCTGCACCGTGAAGGGGACGCAGTACACCGACCTCAGGCACCAAGGCCAGGCACTCAGAGCACAGCTGTTCTCAGCCACACCCATGTGGCTGATAGCCCATTCTGCCTTGTGGGGAGAGCTGAGGGAATAGGGATGAGCTGTACTTTGTTCAGCGTTTGTACTGGGGTTCTGTGAAATAATTATGCTTATTTTTCTTCTTTGCTTTTCTCACAGCTTGCTGTGGTGTATCTTCAATTTTTTTATTCACCCATGTGGAAAGACTACAACTCGTTTTTTTTATTTCCTATAATCATTGAAAAAGCCATTTGGAACACACTGGATGGTTAATACATAAGCCGAAGTTTTTTCATAAATACTCCAAGGTTCCTAGAGTGCTAAAGCAAGCCTGGTTTAAACAAAGTTTTATGCATTGCTGCAAAGAAGAGGAGTTGGTCTGTCCTCAGACGCCTTAAACCCTGATACGAGATCCTCCTCCTTGGAAATAGAACACGGGGAAGTATTTTCATTCCACATAGGCTGGCTTCAGCTGCACTGAACATTTGTTCTGGCCCAGAACCCTTTTCTAGGAGCTTATGGAGTTAGCTGATGGCACCTTCAATTACATTTGAATTATGCAAAGAATTTAAAATTCTTGAGCCAACCCTCACTCAGAGTAAAGGTAAGACAGTCACATTTTACTGTATCAGTACTCTCAATCCACAAAAATATTTCAATAAACTTCCTCTTGAATCACATTTTCCAAGTCTGCTGTGTTTCTTGTGCAGTTTTAGGTCTCAAATTAATTACCCTTCCAACTTAGCAGATTTTCTTTCCCACCGGTGAGCAGCTTTTCTATTAGATGGAGTACTAGTTGAGACTGAGTCCAGAATCCCTTTTCCCTGTATCTGCACTGAACATATGGATTCTCTTGAATTGCAGATCTGAGCCACTGCCAAATTTGTCATTTTTCTAACTTACTCAAAATTCCCATTTTCCAACTAAAAATTGTCACTATCTTAGAGCTCTTCGGCACTGCTGTGCAAACCAGCATTTAGTTTTCTTTGGGAAGTGGGCCATTTTTCCCCCCATAAGAAACACACTTTTCAAGTGATGTGGGTGCAAAGTGGTACATTTGAATCGTACACTTGAATCATCCCAGAGTAAAATCACTCATTCCCAAACACCAGCTTCATGGCACCACACATCACTGAACAAGTGCAAACCTGTTCACATCCCAACATTCCTGAAGCTGGGATGTGTCCTGCAATTGATACCCTTGTTAACTGTCTGGCAGTCCCTTTTCTTTCTTCACAGAACATAAAATGGTAAAAAGGTCTCATGAGTGATGGTTTCTTACTTTTGATGACATAAAGAATTATTATTTAAAATTAAACCTCAGCAAAAACACATCACTACATGCTACAGACTTTGGGGGCTATTTGTGTATAACTGAAAAGGAGACTCCGAAGACAGAGAGTGGCAGATTTGCCTGTGATGTGGGATGAGTACCATGAGGAAGGTGCCCAGGGCTCAAGAAAAAGAGAGGGGAAGACCCCAAGCCGGCTTCCTACGTGGCCTCTGGGCTGAGTTTCTAAGCATCAGCAGAGGCTGGCCAGGTGAAGGGTAAGAGTGGGGGCGGTGGAGGGGGACCGTGTGGGTGGCTGCTGGTAATTATTCCAGACACAGAGAAAGCAATGAACACATTCCTGCACAGCAGAACTGTATGGGGTGTGCATGCCACCAACCATAAGCAGTTGTGCATTCCTAGAACTTAAAGAGAGAGAAGCTGTGACTGAATAAGACATATGGAGCAATCTCTGAGGCCACCTGCTGTCCCTTTCAGCATTTAGATCTATTCTGTAGCCACTGGAGGGTAGACACTCAATGCTGTTTATTTCACATTTACTGAGCACCTTCTATGTCCTGTCTTTGCTAGAGAGTTCATCTTTGACTATCCATAACAATGTTGGAAGCCTGTGGCATGTCTCTTGAATTTAGCTTCCAACTATACAATCTGAAGTACATAATTTTCCACCAGTTAGTTCCATCTTCCCATTTTTCAGAGACTGACTTCATCTAGAAATATTCCCAGTGTTCAATATCTTGTTTTGTCCTTGGGTTTATTTCTCTGGTGCAGTCTTAGAACTAAGGTAAGTCATATAATTTAGAGCCTAGATGGAGCTGAGAAACAATCGAATAAAGCCCCTTTTTTGCATAACATACAGAACTGTCAAATCACTCTGTTACCCACCTGAAAACAATAACACTATACATCAATTACACTTCAATAAAAATTAAAACAAATAGATTATTAAAGAAATAAAAAATAAGTTAAATAACACGGGGACCTGTGATCCAGGGAGGTGACTAACGGGTCTGAGAGAACAAAGCCAAGTAGCTTCAGAGCCAGGGCGTCAGTGCAGGCTCCTGATGGCTTGCCTAATGAACAGAAGAAATACAAATCTGTCAGAGGTTCTAGGTACTGAGTTAAAAAATAACTTAATGTTTGTACATTTCTTTTGCTCCAAGTTATTTTTCATCTTTTTTCCCAGAGGTTTATCTTTGGTCACTTTCTCTTATGTTAATAATGATTTTTATAATTTCCCACGAAGAGAAGGAAGTGTGTTTTAAGTATAAATGTCAAAAGAGTTTTAGTAGAAATGGAGAAAAACAATTCCTCCATACGCAATTAACTATACATATATTTTAAAAACTGATTCTTCAAATTACATAGTTGACAAATTCCTACAGATGGTGGAAAGGTGAAGTAGTCTTCCATTCTTTCAAAAGCTAAGTATTAATTAAAGTAATATCATTTTGGGGCACCTGGTCGGCTCAGTCAGTAGAGCACACAACTCTTGATCTCAGGGTTGTGAGTCTGAGTCCCACAATGGGTGTAGTTTACTTAATAAAAAAATATTTAAAAAGTAATGAAATTTTGACTAGCTTTTATGGGTGTTTTTCCTATCTCTCAGATATCACATCGCTTTTCTATTCAGATTTTCATAAAGTTATGATTACTTGAGCATTCCATGTAACTTTATATGGATTCTATTTCTAGCAGAATTTTGTATCTCCCGCGAGTGACTTTTTTTCCTGCAAATGATTTTTGACATTTCATAAATTAACAAGTAAAAGTAAAACACAATCACATCCCTCAATTTTGTGAGTCAGCAAATCTTATAAAAGGAAAACAATTCTAACCTTATTCAAAGCTATTAAAAGATGAGTTTTTGTTTAAACCCTACATGTGCAAATCATTGTTAAAATTTGCATTTTCTGTTAATGAATTGGAGTCTTAGGATATTTTTATATGATGATTTCATTCACATTTCAGCACAGCTCAGGTGCTACCTATAGGCATTAATTAAGCTTAATGCTTCCCTAAACCTACTAAAATCACATTCTTACACTAAATATTTTCAATGTCAACTTATCTCCCAATATAAAATAAAAGCCAGTAAACCCATGATCATGCTACAAACTTGTGCCTCTTCCATGTCGTTTCATCTCTCAGGCCTCACTTTGCTTGCCTGTGAAACCGTAGATCAGGCTAGCTGACATCTAGGATGCCCTCGGTCACAAAAACTATAAAGCTGCTTTTAATTAATTTTAGAGACATTTATATCTAAGAGAAAGCTTTGAGATAACGAACACATCTTCCTTTTTAAAGATGAGAAAACTGGAGTTTAAAAATGGAGACAACTTGTCCAAGAGCAGGTTAAAGATCAAGTTCTCAATAAGGAAAGCTGGGATTAAAACACTAATCTCCAGTTATCAACCTGGTGCTCCCCTCAGCGTCTCCCTCTATCTCAAGAGATGTTTCTCAAAGGAACATGTCCAACACAGCATTTCATATTCTAAGAAATGGGAAAAATAAGTCAAGATACTCTCTAAAAGGTTATCATCCTCACCATTATTATAAGTTAAAAATATTACGTCCCCAGTGGCTCAGTCATTAAGCGTCTGCCTTCAGCTCAGGTCATGATCCCAGGGTCCTGGGATCGAGCCCCACATCGGGCTCCCTGCTCAGTGGGAAGTCGGCTTCTCCCTCTCCCACTGCTGCTCCCCCTGCTTGTACTCTCTCTCTCTCTGTCAAATAAATAAATAAAATCTTTAAAAAAAATACCTCCCCACAAAAACAAACTAAAAACAAAATAAAGAACAAAAAATTCAAATGGCTCAGAAGGGGCATGGGCTAGGTCTTGCTCTTTTTTCTCTTAAAGCCCTGCTTGCAAAGGACAATTGATGGTGAATTTTGTGCTACAACAAAAATCATAGCAGCAATAACAAAGAGGCTGGCATTTGAAAACAAAAAACCTCAAAGAAATCCACAAGAGCAAGTAACATAAAATGGATTAAAATACTGAGAACAGAAAAAGAATAAATAGGCTGTCTTTGCTAAAGATTTAAAAAAAAAACCCTTGTTTATAAATTATATTCACCTTTGATTTTATTTAGGTTGGTTTATATAATCTCTAGTACTTATGGTAGCTTTTTCTCTAAAAGCTTAACTTCAAAAGGTGAAGAAGGAACACCCTAGTCAGACAAAGGTCCTAATCAACTTCTGCAAAGAAATACTATATACCCTTCAACTGCCAGCACAGAACATTATTAAATGATAGGAATAAAGATTTTCCTTTAATTATATTTCAAAACAGCATTTTACAGTTGGAAAGCTCTTACCAATTTTAAAATTTTTCATGGGAGAAAAATCTGAAATAAGTTAACTTTATCATCTAACATCATGTTGCCCAAATACAATAGTCACTAGCCATTTTTGGCTATTGAGCACTTGAAATATGGCTAGTCTGAATTTAGATATGCTTTTAGTGTACACTGGATTTTGAAGACTTAGTATACCCCCCAAAAGTAAAAGGTCTCATTGATAAATCTACATTTTATATTTATATTTTATATTTATAAAAAGCGTATGTATTCTCTATCGACATATTTGTATATATTCATATTTTGATATATCACTATATTATACATAAATATATATTTATACATTCTATTTTATATTTATATACTTATTTTTGTATTTTATGTTAAAATAATATTTTGGACATATTGGGTTAAATAAAATATATTACCTAATTTTACCTGTTCCCTTTTATTTTTTCAAATGTATCTACTAGTATACTTTAAATTATATATGTGGCTGCCATTATATCTTCACAGACAGCCTTGGTCTAAGGCATTAAGCAAATTAGCAAAGAGCTAGAAATTAATTTCATAACTCAGGTCACCAATATTCTGTACAGATTAAATATCTTTAAATAGTTCTTTCTCCCTAGAATCTCCGATAATTATTCTGTCAGAAATGTCATTACAAAAGTAAAATTCCATATACACACACACACATATATATATATATATACACAAAGACTGTATGTGTGTATATAGATATATATACAGACACACGTTTAGTTTTTTTAAATGACCTCCATTTTCATTATACATTGCTTTAAAAAGGTCCAAATCTATGTGCAAAATGCACTAATAGTTTCAAATCAGATTCATCGAAATAAGAAATTAATAAACTACTATAAGACCATTAAAAAAAAAGCCCACTAAAAGGGAAAAGATAAAGACTGTTTCTCTCTATACATTTATACATTCATATATAAATATCTACCTACAAAGTATATATACATATTTACAAATGAAATACATTATATATAATTCATATACAAATATATGAATGGTTAATATTACAGGTATGATGGAAGTATGTGCATGTATGAAATTACACATAAGCATCATGTCAACAATCAGAAAACTAGGGAGACACTAATGTTTACAAGGTTCTTTCTTTAACATTAAATTCGTAAGTTGAAGCACATTATAGAGATGATCAAGTAATTTCTTATGCCTCCACAGGATCACTCAGAGCTAGCAGAGAATTTATAGATCATTTAGTCCAATCTCTCTTTTCACAGGGGAAAGAACTGAGAAATGAAGACTGAAGAAAATGTCCCAAAGCAAAGAGTAAGCCTTTTTCATCAGTCTTAAATTACTGAAATACACACATACCAGTAAGTAGTTTATAAAATGTCTATACTCTGCACAGGTCCTGTAAACAAACCACCTCAGCTCCTTTTTCTGGAAATGGCGCATAGTCAAGGACTCTCCTTGGTAAAGCTGTAGCTACTAACTCATGTTTGAGTTTGGGCTGGCTTAGCAAGGGATGAAGGCAGCTCGGGCAGGGGAGGGGGAAGCAAGAAGGGGACCTTAAAATAAAAGTCAAACAGCAAAGGGAAGCAGACAGAAAGTTCCGTATTTTATGTACCCCAACTAACAGAGCCACCCTTGCCTACACCGGGTCATCTAGTTGCTGTTATTTGAGAACTAGTAAAAGATCTCTTTCCCAAATCCTCTCCACTCTCTTAGGGAAGAAGCTTACAGGACTAAATAGCAGCAACACCCAGAGTAAATAAGGCACAAGACTGATTTTTTGATGGGGATCAGGAAAGACAGGGCCATGGGCATATACCTGGTAGGGCAGGTAGAATAACCAGGAAGTAGTCCAAAGGGGTGCAGGTCCAAGTCAGGAGTGCAGGGAAGAGAGAAGCAGGAAGCAGAAAGGAGGGAGTGGTTTGGCACCAATGCAAAGTTTACCTACTTCACAATGATGCCCATGCTGCCTATGGCAACACTGAAGAAAGAGCATTAGGTACAAGGACACTAATCCTGGCCTTCAGGGAGCATCAGGTGGAAGAAAAGTCCCCAGGGTGATGATGACCAGTCTCCCTCATTCACTGTAGGGAATCATGGCTCTTGGCATTGTGCTAGGCACCTTCTCTCATAGCTTCCACTCTTCATGCACCACTGCGCACTTCTTTGGAACTATCCAGCACCATGACTGTAACTACTGCTGTTCCTTTCTTTTTGTCTGGAAGGGATGGGTCTCCCTTCCTTTCCCCTTCTGTTCCTGCTGGGATGGCTGAAGACAGAATCAGCTAGCACTGTTGACTAGTGTTCCAAAAAACAATATGGAAGCTAAATAGTATGACAGCTTCACTCTGCAGCTTTTACGGTGCTTGCTGGAGCACTTTCTCTAGGAATACTGCCTCTTGGAATCCTGATATGCCATGTTAGAAAGGTCATATGGAGACATTCTGGCACAGTCAACAACCAGCAGTCTTTGCTGTACCTGCCCAACTATTTTCTCTTCAAGTTAATCAACCTCCCTTTCTGCCATAAGCCCATGTTCTTCAACCTCTTTCTTCCCCCCAGTTACCATCTCTTCCTTCTCTTTGCTGAGTTCTTCTAAGCCCATACAGACTTGTTCCCTTCTCCACCATGCCAGAGAAAGTTTTTCACTATGAACCCAACTCAAGTCTTCATCTTGCTTGACCTTTGACTAAGCTCCCATTCTTAAGTGCTCAGCAAACACTCTGCACTTTTGAAGCTTTTCTAATTTCTTTGTTAGC